CTGGCCTCAAACCACAGATCCTCCTGCCTCAACCTCCCAAGTGCTAGGGTTACAGATGTGCTCAACCACGCCCAGGTCTAAAAGTTTGGTTTATTATTATTTTGGGGGATGGGGTTGAGACAGAGTCTTGCTCTGTAGTTCAGGCTGGCCTTGAACTCACTATGTAGCCAGGCTGTCCTCAGACTCATAGTGAGCCTCCTAACTCAGCCTCCCAAGTCCTGGGATTACAAGCGTGTGTCACCATGCCCAGCGGGAGTTTGTGTTTTTTTTTGGTACGGGATGGAAGTTCTCTTACAGAATTCTTCGGTAATGCTGGGGAAGCTGCTGACACTTTGCACACACTGCTGGAAGGAATGCGAGGTGCTGCAGCCACTGTGGAACCGAGCCTGGCAGTTGTTACAGGATGCAGCAGTTTCACCCCTGGGTCTGTACTCAAGAGAACTGAAAACACGTTCATACAAAAAGTGTACACGAAGGGCTGGGGATGTACCTCAGTGGCACCGCCCCTGCCTCGAAAAGTGCAAGGTCCTGAGTTCGATCCCCAGTACCAGGGGAAAAAAAGTACACTATGTATCATATTCATGACATTGTCATTTGTTGTACTGGGGATTGAACACAGGGCCTTTATATATCAGGCAAACAGGCCACCACTGAGCTACATTTCCAGCCCTTTTTATTTATTCATTTTTGTGCCATACAGGACATTGAGCCCAGGGTCTTCACACTGAGCTACATTCCTAGCTCTTTTTATTTTTAAATTCAATTAATTAATTAGTCAATCTGGTTTTTGATACAGGGTCTCATTATGTAGTTCAGCTAGCCTTGAACTCACTGTGTAGCCCAGGCTGGCCTCTTGGTGATCCTCCTGCCTCAGGCTCCCCAGTGCTGGGATCACAGGCATGTGCTACCATGCCCAGCTGGGCTTTTTTTTTTTTTGAGACAGGATCTTGTAAAGTTACTGATTGGCCCAGGCTGAGTTTGAACTTGCAATCCTGCTGCCTCAGCCTCACAAGTAACTGGTAAGGCTACAGTACAAGGTGTATGCTATACTTTGTTTTTAAAGCCAGGAGCTATGCTGTGTGCTTTGTAATACAACCATTCTGGCATGCAGAGGCAGGAGGACAAATTCAAGTCCTGCCCGTGCAATTTAACAACTTAGCAAGACCTTGTCTCAAAAAATAAAAAGGGCTGGGCCGGGGATTAAGCTTAGTGGTTCTGTTGCCTGCCTTGCAAGAGCAAGGACCCGAGTTCGATCTCCAGTACCAAAAAATAAAATAAAATAAAATAAAAATAAAAGGCTGGAGATGTAGCTCAGTGCTAAGTGGCCCTGGGTTTGACCAGCAGGACCACAAAAATTATTTTGAGTAGGGTCTAAGTTGCCCAGACTGGCCTCAAACTTGCAGTTCTCCTGCCTCATCCTCCTGAGTAACTGGAATTACTGGTGGGTGTTACTATACCCAGCTGTAGCAGCATTATTTATAATAACCTACCATAAGTGTTTATAATTGAGGAATAAACAAAATGTGATATATCCACATAATGGAGTATTATTTGGCAATAAAAACAAGAGGAGAAAGGAACCCTTCTCCACTGTTGGTGGGAGCGCAGACTGGTGCAACCACTGTGGAAGTCAGTATGGAGATACCTCAAAGAACTAGGGCTAGAGGTCCCATTTGACCCAGCTATCCCCCTGCTGGTTATCTTCCCCAAAGAATTAGAATCATAGCACAGTGATATATGTGCACCCATGTTCATAGAGGCACAGTTTTTTTTTTTTCTTTTTTTGGTACCAGGGATTGAACTCGGGACCTTGCGCTTGTGAGGCAGGTGCTGGAACCACTGAGCTAAACCCCCGGCCCAATAGTGGCACAGTTTGTAATAGCTAAAGCTTGGAAACAGCCCAAGTGCCCATCAACTGGAAACTGGATAAAGAAGATGTGGGTTTTTTATAAAATGGAGTACTACTCAGCCATAAAGAACGAGAAACTAGAGACATTTATAGCTAAATGGATGCATATAGAGGCCATACTCTTTTTTTTTTTTCTTTTTGGTACCGGGGATCAGACTTGGGTGCTTGTGCTTGCAAGGCAGGCAGTGGAACCACTGAGCTAAATCCCCGGCCCCAAGGCCACACTCTTAAGTGAAATAAATAGGACACAATTGTGTAAATACCAAATAGTTTCTCTGGTGTGAGAAACTGAAAGTGTAAATAAGGATTAAAATGATTAAAATGAGTAATTGATAATTTGAAATAGGAAGAAAAGGTCCAAAGGTGTAGGGGTGGTGGGAGGGGAAGGGGAAAGGAAAGAAGGGAAAGAAAAAATGATGAGAAAAGGGAAAAATGGAAACAAAGTCTTTGTAAATAGGGAAGGGCACACAGGGAATGGGGGAAAAAAAAGAACCAAGATAGTCATGTACAGTACAAACACCCAATGATAAATGTAAATGTATACCTGAAATGTACCAATAAAAGAACTTAAGCAAAAAACAAACAAACAAAAATAAACAAGTTAAGCTACAATGTGGGTGAAACTTGAAACCATAGTGCCAAGAAACCGGTTATATTTTCTTTTTTTTTTTTTTTTGGTACTGGGGATCGAACTTGGGTCCTTCTGCTTGCAAGGCAGGTGGCAGCACCACTGAGCTCAATCCAAGAAACTGGTTATAAAAGACTGGGTGGATCCAGGCATAGTGGCACATGGTGACAGTCCCAGCACTGGGGAGGCTGAGATAGGATCACTGGGCCACATAATGAGTTAAAGGCCAGTCTGAACTTTATAGCAAGATTCTGTCTCAAAAAACCAAAACCAAAACACAACTGGGTGAATTATATGGAATGGTATGTGAATCATATCTCAATTAAGTTGGTTTGTTTTTTTTTTTTTGGTACCGGGGATCAAACTCGGGTCCTTGCGCTTGCGAGGCAGGCGGCAGAACCACTGAGCTAAATCCCCGGCCCTCAATTAAGTTGTTTTTAAAACTATTTCACAAATTTAAAACAATCTATAGAACAGGGCTGGGGATTTAGCTCAGTGGTTTCGTCACCTGCTGCACAAGCAAAAGGACCCGAGTTTGATCCCTGGTACCCACCCCCTAAAAAAAATCTATAGGACAGAAACAAAATACACTGCTTGACACTACCCGGCTCCCAGGCTGCACTTGTTCCAACCAAAGTAATGCACTTCCTAACAGCAAGGTCACTGGTACAGGCTGTGGGCTTCACCTTCCTAAGAGCTGACATCCTCTCTGCACTGCCTGAGGAGTCGCTCTGAGTGAGGACCGGAGGTCAAGGGGGTCTTGGCAGCTGAGAGGACAGACAGACCAGGCAGCCCTTGGGTCTCCTCCCCTAACCTCTTCAGTTTTTATCCAGCCTATGTTGTTGGTCTTCTCACGGCAGAATGGAAATCCCAGACAGCTGGGGTGTGATTTGCTCACTTCTGTTATCCCCAGCCACCTCAGAAAGGCTGAGAGAGTAAAAGGTAGCGGCCGGGTGTGGTGGCACCCACCTGTAATCCCAGCGCTTGGCAGGCTGAAGCAGGAGGATCACTGTAAATTCCAGGCCAGCCTGAGCTATGTAGGGAGATCCTGCCTCAAAAAAAAAAAAGAATAAAAGGTAGAGCCAGGCGTGGTGGTGCACACCTTCGATCCCAGGGCTCTGCCAAGGCAGGCTACACGTCCAAGTGCAGCCTGGCCAATTTAGCAAATTAGCAAGACCTTGACTCAAAATTTAAAAAATAAAAAGGGTTGGGCCAGGGATTTAGCTCAGTGGTGCCACTGCCGGACTCACAAGCCCAAGGTCCCGAGTTCAATCCCTGGTACCAAAAATAAAAATTAGGGCCGGGGATTTAGCTCAGTGGTTTCACCGCCTGCTGCGCAAGCGCAAGGACCTGAGTTCGATCCCTGGTACCAACCCCCCCCCCCAAAATTAAATGAATGAATAAAATAAATAAAAAAGGCTGGTGATGTAGCTCAGTGCTAAAGCCTTCGGTTCAGTCTGCAGTACAGCCACCCCTTCCCAAAGGGCAACTCAAGCCGGTAAGGAGAGCAGGTTGACTGGGGAAACGGGAGATGGGAGGGAGCAGACAGCAGACTGGGCACCCCAGCTGGGTACACCGGCATCCGGGAGGACGTGCACACACAGATGTATGGGCGCTGGCGTGCAGGGCCACACTCGCGACCGCAGCCTGTTGCAAGGGGACGGACGGGCGCTAGCAGTCTGGAAGGACTGTGGCCATCTCAACTTGGGCCAGCGGCTGTTTTCAGAAGTTGCAAACCAAAACTCGCACGCGAAGTCTTGCCTGGTCACTGTTCCTGACTTAGGTTTTGTAGAACTCCAGGCCCCAGCCTTCCCTAGAAGTCTGGGGTATGTGTGGTGGTGGCAATGAATGTTGGCTCTTTACCAAAGCAAAGCTCTGGCTGGAACAAGCCGGGCTAGTTCTGGGGGCCCAGGAGAGCCAGTTCTAGTAGGTGGGTTTAGTAGTCACTGATTATTTTCCCCCTTTGCTGTACCAGGCTTCCTCACACTGTACCATGTTCTTATATTTAGTATATGTGCTGCCAAAGCAAGCACCATGTACTTGTATTTAAACTGTATGTTGAGTCATAGTGACCCTGGATTACTTAGCAAAAACCAGCAAGTCTGCAAAAATCACCATGTTCTCCTACAAAACCTCATGAATACACTGCATGTGCAAGCAACCCTTGGAGAGGAACCTAACAGCAGAGCAAGGCCACGGACAGTGGCTGCCTGTGGGAAGGGTTGGGTTGGAGCTGGCTGGCAGGTGACGGGGAAATCTGGTGCTTCTCTCAGGCTGTAGAAAAGCAGCATAAAAGCTTCCAGGCCAACATGGAGCAGCTCACCAAGAGCAGCAGCTCAGCCCCCAGCCCTGCGGGAAGGGACCCTCCCCAGGCCGTGGCCCTGGAGGTCCTCACCCCCTCACCCCCTCGCCCCAGGCCCAGCCCAACCGCCGGCGACCCACAGACTGAGAGCGCCAGAGGGCCTCATTGTAACACTCATTTTTATATAAATATCCGCAAGTCATGTTACAGAATAAGCCCCACCGGGGGAAAAAGTCAACGTTAGGGTTTTGTTAACTGAGCCCTGCCTTCCAGACGGGCCCCACTCTGGAGACACCTGCTGCTTTGGGAGGCTGGGGCTGCCTCGCTCTCGAGGCTGCTGAGGAGGAAGCTGCCTTGTCGCCCACCCCCGGGCCAGGCCCTTTCTTTGGTGTGTGGTACGGGGGACCTTTTCTGCCCACCCCCAGCCTCCAGCAGGGTTCTGGAGCACGGTTCTGTGGAGCAGGGCACTGAGCCGCAGAGGTGGTCCGGGGCTTGGCGCGGAGGGCAGAGCTGAAGGCGCGGGTGGCGCCTGGGCTGTGGCCCGGCGGGAAGGACCCGGCCTCCCCTGGCCCAGGCCGGTGCCTTCCCAGGGACAAGCCCCGGAGCCCTGCCTCCCCTCCCCCAGAGAGGCTGGAGGCTAGGAACACAGCACCAGTCTGAGGGTTTAATGAACCGGGAGGGGTCTGCGGGGAGGGCACCCCTGTAAAAATGTACAAAAGGTCTGAGGGCTGTGCGGAAGGGGAGATAAATATGTACACGGAGCCCCTTCTCTCTAGCCCCTCCTCCGCCCCGGGAGGTGAGCTCAGCCTAGCTGGAGGGGCGCCGGCCTCTGGCTGAGTGAGCCCTTGAGTAGGCGGCCTCTCCAGAGGCCCCTGGGGCAGCGGTGCACCTCAGCGTGGCAATGGCCTGCTCACACGCCCTCTAGGCTGGAGGCCTCTGCCCTCCCGGTGACCCCACAGTGCATGTGACCCTTGCCCTCATGGGGTCCAGGGCCTCAGACTGCTGAGGTTGTGACCCTTGCCCTCCAGCCTCGGCTTCAACCCCAGCCCCAAGGCCCGGCCAACAGCAAGGGGAGCTGGAGCTCTGTCCCACACACACTCCCCTCACCTGTCAGCCCGTGCTGGGCCGGGGGCCCTCGGCGGGGAGCTGGGCCGGGGGGCCGGCACGAGTGGAGGTGGCGCCCCCAAAAGGGCTCCTGGGGGGGTCTTGCTGAGAAGATGAGGGGTTCCTGGGGCCGCGGCAGGTGGCGGTGGCGGAGCCAATCGGCTGTAGAGTAGCGGGTGAGTGGGCTCCAGGCCGTAGAGGCGGGCAGCAGCCACAGCCCCAGGTCCCGTCAGCTCCTCGCCTGCCTCATAGAAGCGGGGCGGCCTGGCGAGGCGCGGGGGTCCTGCCAACCAGGCTGGCTCCAGGAAGCCTGCGCAGCGCTCTGGCGGACTAGGGCCCAGGAACGGCGGTGGCCGAGGCCTCTCAAACAGCAGGTGGAGGCCCTGAGGCCCAGTGGCTGCAGCAGCGGCGGCGGCAGCGGCGGCAGCGGCAGCGGCAGCGGCGGCGGCAGCAGCCTCCTCCTTCCGCTCTTCCTTTACCCGCACCGACTCCTTGGCGGGCCGAGCCCCTTCCTCGCCCGCCCGGGCCTTGGGCGTCGCAGGAGAAACTCGGAGCTGGGGCCGTGAGAAGGGGAGGTCCCTGGGGGTGCAGAGGGAGAAGATGCCGTACACCAGGAGGACGGGCTGGCAGGCAGGCGGCGCTGCGGGCTGGGGACTTACCTGTCCTTCTCCTCCTTGGAAATCGAGGGCTCCCTCCGCTCCACAGGCCGCTCCTTGTCTGAGCCTGGGGTCCGAGCGGCCTCAGGGGGGCGGACCCAGGCTGGGAAGGCCAAGGGGCTGCGGTGCAGGCGGCCCCACGGATCTGGGGGAGAGGCAAAGGCTGGCGGGGCCCCTGGGCTTTCTTTCTGGGCAAAGACGGCACCGGAGTCTGGGCAGTGGGCAAAAAGCAGAAAGTGGCACGGCCGAGGGACAGGAGGCCCTGCCCAGGCACGGACCCCAGCACGGCAGCCCCCAGCACACCCCTCGCACTTACTGAATGTGGGGCTGCCCAGCCCTCCAAAGGCCCCATTGGAGAGGGCAGCCAAGGAGGCAAAGCTTGTGGGGCGCCCAAAGGGGTCTGCGGAGGGAGAAAAGGGCCAACAGTCAAGAGCCGCAGCAGCCAGCTCCGAGCAGGCACAGAGCAAGGGTGGGGTCGGGCGGCCAGCGACCAGGCCTTGGGCCGGAGTCGCCTGCAGTCCCCTAGTTTCAACAAGTATGTGCCGAGTCTGGGCTGGGCAGGCACTGAGCTTCCCAGCGGCGTGGCCTCAGCCTCACTCAGCCCCGGAGGCAGACAAGGCTCAGAGAGGAGAAACGACTCCCCAGGGGTCAGCTGCCATGCCTCCCCACGCCACCCAGACTGGTGCAGATCTCTGCTTGCAGCCGGCTTCTCCCCGCCCGCGGTGCATGGTGCACGGTGCACAGGATCCTTCCTGGCCTGTCTAAACTTCAGGCATGGCTCACACCTCCTGGGAACACTGCCTGTCCTCAGGGACTCGGCCTCCCAGCCAGGCTCCACTTCCTCCTGTCCCACACACCCGGGCTGCACAGCCCCGGGCAGGCTGCTGCGCTCCCCAAGGGCCAGGGACCCTGCTCTCCCTGGGCTATGCAGCCCCCTCCTCCCTCTCCTAGGTGCCGCTCCTCCCTACCACCGACTACTCACTGCTCAGCACACGGGAGTCACCTTGGCCTTCCCTACTCATTTACCGACGAGAAAAATCATGGCTCAGCTCAGAGCGGGTAAAGTAACTTGCCCAAAGTCACCAAGCAAATGGGAGGAGGTCTATGCCATTCTGTCTCTTGGGTCTGACTTCCTATGCCCAGCTCGAGAGCACCCAGCGGTCAGGACAGCCTGGATGCCCAGTGCACCCTTGGCTCTTACCAATGTGGGTGCTGGGGCTCAGGAAGGCTCCGTGGGCCCCGGGAGCTGCCGTGAAAGGGTTGGCTGCAGCGTGGACGGCACCTGGGGCAGAGAGGTGGGAGATTCTGATAAGGCTGAGTGGACACAAGGTGGGCTGCAGGCGTAGACAGGGAACTCGGCCCTGAGGGCTGGCTAGACTCACCAGTCGCAGTGAAGAGGGAGGCCGGGTGGGAGAGCTCCTGCCCAGGGGGCAAGGCCCCATAGGGCCCCGGAAGGCAGGGCAGGAGGTCATTCCGAAAGTCAAGCTTGTGGGAATCACCCTGCATGGGACACAGGGACAAGGGCAGTGAGGAGCCACGTCTGGTTCAGTTTTTTGTTTTGTTTCTCTCTTTTTTCTGCATCTCTTTCTTAGGTCCCTGTTCTTAGTCTCCCACCCCTGCTCCCCTCCAAGGGCTGGCTGCCACCAAGAGGGTGCTGGGGTGCCCTTCTCTGCTTGTCTTGAGAGACTTCTCTGATCACTCCTCCAACTGCCAGAGAATGCAGGTGCTGGCTGTGGACCCGCTCAGGAGTGACGGGGCCAGGAGAACTCGTTTGCCTGAGAGTCGCTGAGCCCTACTGAAGCGAGATCCCGATGCTCACTCTCAGACCCAGTCTCCCAAGCCCTTGGCCCCAGTACCTTTATCTTTTCCTGGTGTCTCAGGATCATGTAAGCCAAGCGCACGTGCATGGCGCACCATTTCCCTGGCTTCTGCTGCCCCCGAAGGATGACCAAAGGGAAAGGGAAGGAAAGAACAGCCACTCGTCACCCACTCCAGGCCCAGCCCTGGGCCCAGCCTCGCCACACAACATCCCCACTCATCAAAGCCTAGGAAACTGAGGCTCAGAGAGAGAACCATACTGCCCAAGGTCCCGTGGCCAGGTACTGCTGAGCCCAGGGCTCTAATTGAAAGACCCTTCGTTTCTTCAGTGTTACATCTGCTGCCTGCACATCTCGATCTCTCGTTCTTTCCCAAGCTGGACCCACTCCCGCAGCAACACCCTGACACCAGCCCCCAGCCTCATGCAGCCTAAGGTCCTCACCAAACTCACCCTCAAAGGTGGCCGGAAATGGTCGGGGATCTGGGGGTGGCAAAGGAGAAACAGCAGGTGACTCAGACCTGTTTCCTGCCCTTCGTGTTTCAACTCCACAGCAGGCGCTCACGCCTGACATTCCTGACACCCATCCTGCCTATGTCACTTCTCTTCCATCTCTCCCACGCTAGGTCTTGCTAGGTCTTTCTTCCAACAGCAGGCCCCAGGGAAGTGCCCTGCTGGGAGGGCCAGGGGATGGCCTGGGGCAGGCAGGCAGCACTCTCAACTGGAGAGGTTACCCTCTTATCAGCTTTATATAACATGGACCCACTTGACATTTCTTTAGGAAAAAAAACCCCATCTTTTAAAGGCATTGAAAAACCTCTGCTCTAGTCTACTCTCCTGCAAACATGTCCTGTCCTTTTCACCATGTTCAAGAGCCCTGGGGTCTATGGCTGCTATGTGTACAAATGAGGAGGGAAGGCTCTGGCTCCCTGACACTTCACGAAGAAGCTTGCTTTAATTGTTTTATGGACGAGGTTTACTGGTTATGATGTCATTTGGGAAAAAAAAAAAAGTTCTGTTACTTAAATTTGAAAATCCCCCCCTTCAAAAATGTTTTAAAAAAATAAAAAAATAGAACTGAAAATCCCTACAAAAACCACTTCCCCTGGGGCACTACAACTCCAAAGGCACTATGGTAACTATTACCTTACACCTTGCACAGCCTCAGCAAAGCTCTACTCCTCATACCTGGGAAATGCTTCTGCAGAAAGCCCTCTCTAGACACCCAGAGACACACCCTAGTCACAGATTAAAGGGCAGGACCAGCGGTCACTTTCTCTGACTCAACCCTGCTCTCCCTCCTTCCAGCTCCCCCAGGACCTGCCCTGGCCCTCACCTGTGTCCCCTTCTGGGGGAGCCCGCTTGGCACTGGCCCCAGTCGTGGTGGCGGCTCAGGGTTCGTGCTCTGGGAAAGGGAAGTGGAGGGATCAGACAGAGCTGGCATCAAGCATAATGGGGGTCTAGACCCAAGCTAGGGAAAAGCAAGCTAGAGGACAGGAGGAGCATGGCTTTGCAAAAAGCTAGGTCCAGGAGGGAAGGCAGGTGGTTAGGCACAGTTTGGGGGACAGGAAGTGGGTCCAGGGAATCTAGGTCTGTAAGTGGCAGGGGGTGGCGGTATCACCTGGACTGGGAGCTCACCTTGGGCTGGAAGGCCCCCTGCAGGGAGCCAAAGGAGACAGCTGGCGGGAGGCCTGGAGGGAGCCCTGGCACTGCGGGAGGGAAGGCCGCATACGGCTGTGGAGAGAAGGGGGCCTAGTCCAAGCAGGGGTGGAAGTGCTGCCCAGGCCTGGCCCGCCCTCAGTCCTCTGGCCTCCACCCTAACCCTCCAGGGAGTCCCCCAGGCTCAAGGCTCTTGCTTTGAAGACTGGACCCCAACAATCAGGGCAGCAGGCAGTGACATGGCCATGCCCACCACTCACTCACTCACTCACTCACTCACTCACACTCACATTATGTCGGAAAAGGCCTTCCATCTTTCCTGGGTATTTCTCAAACTAGGCAGAGAAGGGAAAAATGAACTGCCAGCCAGGGACCCCGGCCTCCCTGGAGCCCCCCCTCTGGGCTGCATCGTCGGCCCAAGGCGGAGCTCACCATGTGGGGGCCGTGGGGTGGCAGCAGGCCTGGGGGGTAAGGGGTGAAGTGCTGGTGGGTGTGCTGGTGGGTGTGCTGGTGCTGGTGGTTGTGCTGGTGGAACTGGAAGGCAAGAGGCCGGGCCGAGCCCCCTGCCGCCACCACCTCAGGGCCACCCTGGGCATTCAGGTATCGAGAGTTCAGGTCCTGGCCGATCAGGTCCTGCTCTGTGGGAGGGGAGGGAGAGAGCTTCAGACTCTGTCTGCACCATGTCAGCCTCCTCGAGCCCTGCTGTCTGCGGTGGCCCAGATCCCTTAGAGCTGCTGGGGCCCAAGCTCAGGGCCAAGGCCACCCCCCAACCCCCGGCCAGGACCCCAAACTCACCAGAGAGGGTGTTAGCAGCTGAGGCCCCAGGGTGCCCTGGCACCTGCAGCAGGGGTGGCGGTGGAGGCAGGGTGGGGCCGGGGGGGAACAAGGAGGGGTGGTGGGGAGGCGGTGGAGGCCGCAACCCAGGGGCAGGAAAGCCGTGGGTGGACAAAGGCAGGGGCAGGGAGGGCGTCGGGGGCCGGTGGCTGAGCTGCGTGGACGAGGACGAGGAGGCGGCGGATGAGGAGGAGGATGAGTGGGGAGGCTGAGCCACGGGAGGGGCCGGGGCCTTGGGGGGCGGCCGTGAAGAGCTGGGGAGAGAAGGGCAGATGAGTGAGGGAGGGGCAGGAAGCGCCTGCGCTGACGGGGCTCAGGAACCCGAGCGGTACTGGGGGAGCGAACCAGGGACCCTCCCCAGCCTGCAGTGCCCCCCTAACCCGTCTCCTCCAGGTTTCTTCCTCTGAGCAGCTGCCTCCGCCAGACTCCGGCCATGCGACTTTCCCTTTTGAGTCAACCTCAGCACAAGCCAGATCCCTCATTTTGACGCTGAATTCCAACAGGCTACCTGGCTTCCCACCCGAAGACAGTGGGCGCAGCACCAAGCTGGCCTGTCCTGGGAGTCAGGAGCCCCAAATTCCAGACCCACCTTGCCATGAATGCCCTGGGTGACCTTGAGCAAGTCACTGCCCTTCTCTGAGCCTTAGTTTTCTCAATAATGGTAACAATGATGGCGATGACAGGATGATGCCACCAGTAACAATGGTATCGGCGGTGTGTACCCTTTGGTGAGCACTTAGCCCAGGGCTGGCACCTGCTTCACAAGCTACCTACCGCAGGCTCCAAGCTTCCATACCGCATTCCCGAGAGTTGACACGGCCATGCACCCATCCGTACCTACACACTTACTTCTACGACGCCTCCCGCTAAGCAGTAACATTTGAAGTCAAGGAGTTGAGGTACTACACACAGTTTGCTAAGGCACTTAAAAGCTAACTCATGACTATTTTTAGAGTTTACTCAGGTAAGACCTGACATCATTCCATCACCCACTAAAAATGAGTGTGCATATTTTGGGAAGCACTGAATTCCCTCAGAATTAATCCTCACACACAGCTTTATGATGAAGGTATTATTATTGTTTCCTTTCACAAAGAAGAGGAAACTGAGGCTCAGAGGGGTTAAGTGACTTGCCAAAAATCACACAGCAAGTAAGCAGCAGAGCAAGAATTTGAATCCAGGTCTGACTGACACCAAAGCCAGCACTCTTAATCATGTCAGCATTTCCCAAAGTATGTTCCAAAGAACACTATTCCTGGCAGGTGTGCCTTACAGAAAGTTCTTACCAGCAAATAAAATTGGGGAACAGCATAAACTGGAATCCCCTGCATGTGAATGTGTAAAGTACTCAGATAAGCCCTGCAGGGATCTCTGTTTCCTCCACCCAGTGTCCTCCTCACATCACGCCCAAGAGGAACCATCTCATGTCTTCGCACAGAGTACAGGCACTGGAACCGAAATGACCAGGCCCTGTAGATCGGAGCGAACCCTCGGACCACTCACCTGCCAGTGCTGAGGTCCAGGCTGCTGCCGTAGGGAGAAGTGCGCATGCCGAAGGGCGAGACCCGCAGCTGCAGCTGGGGCTGGGGTGGGGGTGGCAGACTGGGGGTGGCCGGCAAGGGCGTAGGGGGTGAGACAGGAGGCCGAGGGGCCGGTGGAGGCGGTGGTTCCTTTTGGGGGAAAGGCACTAGCAGCGGGTCGGGCCCTGGGGGCTGTTCCTGGCTCCGCTCCAGGCCCGACACTTTAGGGACCACGGAGAGTTTTGCTTCACAGTTCCCATTGAAGGCGCCATGGGGGCCCGAGGCTGTGAGTTGAGGGCAGGATGCAGACATGCTCAGTTGAGGCTCAGTCAATCTCCCCCGCTCACCTCTGTCCCAGCCCTGGTTACCAACCTTTGCTGGTTGAGACAGTAAAGGATGGGTCGAGGTCATCATCAGAGACCTGGGGAAGGAGGACAGAGAGATGGTTAGGTCACAGGTAGGCCAGACCCTTGTCTAGGAAGGCCAACAGCCTCTGGAGCCCGCTGGGGGAGGTGGGGATGGTAAGTATGATCCATCAGCTTCACTGAGATTCACCACACCATGCTCCTGGCGGCCTACAATTGGAGAAAGGAGTGGAGCAGCTGAGCCCAAGAACCTGGTAGGCCAGGAGGACTGAATCAAGACAGCACAGAAGTGGCAGAGAAGCAGCCAAATCAAAACAACAACATCGCTAGGTGCTAGCCCACAGGCCTACCTGACTACAGACCTGTTTGGTCCCTGAACGTCAGCAAAAATCTTTGCTGATGCTTTGAAACCTGGAGATTCTTCATTAAAACCCAGACTTGAGGATCTCAAGACTGGGCCCCCATGCTCATGTGGCAACAATCAGTAGAACTGGACAGTAGTCACCCCCTTTAGATGGAAAACAACTCTCTGGGTTGTTCCTATCCAGCCAACATTTGAGAGAAAGTAAGATACATAAGGGGAACTGAAATTCAGTAATTTACAGGGGTCAGTGGGCAGAGCATTACTTGCCAGAAAGCATTAATTCAAAACAAGCAAATCAATCCTAGTAACAAACTGAAATATACCTTTATAGGTTGGGTTCCTAGAGTAACTACAATGGTTCCATGTCCTCACTGGCATCACCATGCCACATTCCCATGCATGAGTCCCTAATTATAAGAGCAGACCAGTGGAGAGAAGTTCCATAGCCACTCTGGATTCCTATGGACAACCAGTGGTAGCCCCAGGAACTTTGGAGAGGATGGTACACCAAGAGGTGGCCTTCTATTTTCTGGGCGGTAGCCCTGGTCGCAGAATAAAAAGCCATTTACCCTCTTAATCCCCCCTTCCTCCCAAAAACCTAATCCTGGTTCAATCTAAGCCATGTTCCCCACTCAAAAGGAGATGTCTGCTGCCTTTAACCCACAGTCCACTTTACCAGCTGTGACACTGCCCCTCAAGGAGTTCTAGCCCCACTCACCCTCTCATCCAGATCACTTTCTGCATCACACTGGGGAAAACGAGAGAGAGAGGTGTCAGGAGAGGGAAGATGAGTAGGGCCCAAGGGGAAGGGAGTACAGGTGGACAGCACTTACTATGTATCCAGCTTCCACAGAGTGCCGGGAGAAGGCCTGAGGAAGACCAGAGTCCAGAGGTAAGCGAAGCTGACTGGCCAGGCAACTGCGTTTCAACTCCCAGGCATTCACCGCCTCTCACGACCTCCTGTCAGTCTCTCTTTCGAGCTGCTTCTCCAGCTACTACCCACCCCCATTCCCAATGCTCTTGCCATTTTCTTAACAGACCAGGTTCCCACATCTAGGTGCTTCTGCCCAAAACAACTTTTCTCCATTTCTTCTCTTAGCAAACTCCTGACTGTACTTCAGAGCCTGACTAAGACATCCTAGGGGGCTTTCCCTAACCACAACTCTCCTCCCATCCCCCAGGCATAAGAGTGGCTTCCTCATGGGGGTTTCTGCAACACCTCTCCCAGATCTCTGCCTGGGGTAGCTTCTCAAGCTGTGCTCTAAGTGTCTGCTTGTCCACCATCTCTTTCCGGTTAAAACTGCCACACCTAGGGAAGGGCAGGGACCACATCTAATTTATTTACCATTCGACTAAAGAATTCTGAATTACCAACACTTCTGAAGCAGATGTACACCCAGCAAACACAAGGGAGCCCGACTGTGGACAAGCCTTTCTCAAAACCTGCGCTGGGAGCAGGGAGGCCTCAGATTTGCTTTGCCTTCCTCTTTGCCTTTAGACTTGGGTTAGAGTTTAGGACCCATAAGCAGTGGCACTCCTGACAGGAAATGGGTCTACAGAAGGACACTCCACCTGAACAGCTTCAAAGGATGAGGTCTCAGGACAAGCTCACCTCTTTCCTTCTCCGCTTATTGGGCCATTTTCGAGGCCGATCCCCAGGGGGCCGGCCAGGCTCCCGATCAGAGCTGTCCCCTGGCTCCCCGGTGGCCCCACTGGAGCCCCCCCTCTTCCGTTTCCCAGAATGCTTCAGCCGATGTTCCAGGCGCTCTGGGGGCTGAAGAGATGCATCCTTCTGTGGAGGAGGAGGGGGAACTGAACTGGATGGGAAAGAGAAAGCTCCCCACCTCTCTGGGGGTGACGAGGCTGCCAAGCCTCGCAGGCCGGGTAACTGGCTGGTCCCCGGAGACCAGCTCCACCTCCTCCCACCCCAGGGTGGGGCAGAGGCCAGGCCAGAGGAGCCGGTTGCTCTGGTTTGGGGTGCCAACCCCCCCCCCAGGCACCCTACCCGCGTCCCTGCCCCTCTCGAGCCCCCAAGGGCCCCTATCGCCCTCCGGCCCCACCTGCAAGGCCTCGAGGCTGGCGAAGCTAGCGATGGCAAAGCCATCGATCAGGTCCTCCTCCTCCTCCTCTTCCTCCTCCGGCTCCTCCTCGGCTTCCCCATCGTCGGCGCCACCCTCCTCCTCCTCTTCTTCCTCCTCCTCCCCGCGGCTGCCGGAGCCGGCAGGCCGCTTTCGAGCGCGGGGTCGCGGAGGCCGCGGCCTGGGTCGGGGCCGCCGCCGCCTCGGGCCCCCAGGCCGCTCTCCGGACGAAGCCGATGACCAGGGCCTGGCGGGCGGCGGCGGCGGCGACGACGAAGACGAGGAGCCGCGCGGGGCGGCCAGCAGGGCCCGGGGTGCGTCGCCTCCTGGGCCTCGGCGGCGCCGCTGCTCGCGGTCGCGGTCCCGGCGGGAGCAGCGTCGCCGCCGCCGCTCGCCTTCGGCCGCCCAGCCCGGGCCCGGGGCCGCGGCCGCTGCCGTCTCCATGGCGACGGCCCTCAGCGCCGCATCCGGAGGCGGCGGGGCCGGGAGCGGCCTGTCCGCAGGCCCGGGGTCGCAGGCGCGGCGCAGGCGAGCGCACAGAGACGGGAAGGCCACGGCTTCCCCTTCAGAGCCCGATCCGCTGGCCCTGAGCGTGCCCCAAGGCCAAGGCCTGGAGAGTCGGCGCCGCCCCCGGGGCGACAAGCCGAGGGCCCCCCCTACGGGGCCGGCGGGGCGCGACGGCGAGAACTGGGCGGCCGTCCCTTTAAAACGGGCCGCAAGTTGTGCAGCCCCTGGCCCCTTTAAGACGACCCGACCGAGTCCGGCCGGCGAGAGCGGTAGCCGCCCCCTGCCAGGGGTCGAAGCAAGTCTCCCCGAGGAAGAGGAAGGGCCACCCCTTTAAAAGGGGCCGAGAGCTCGACCCGAAACGCAGACCTCCCCTTTAAAAGTGTCTCAAGTCCTCCGGTTAAAAGAGGCCACCCCTTTAAGGAGGCCAGGATCTTTCAAACAGCAAGCCGTCCCTTTAAGGGTTCGCGAGTTAGTTTCTAGTTCTCCACAAGCGGCCGCTTCCCCTTTAAGCTGAATTTAAAGGACTGCTGGCGTGGGAGGGGAGAAGAGGTGGGAAACCCCAGTCGCTTCAATTCTCCCAACAGCCCAGTTCTCAATTTGTCAGCTTCTGTTCGACGGCTTCCCCTTTAAGGCTGGCATCTGAGTCGGCCGAGTTCGGTGACCACCCCTTTAAGAAGATTTAAAGGGGCTTCCTCCAGGCCCAGCCGCACCAGCCTCCGCCTCCGGTCGCCATGAAAGGCGGGAAGGGGGGCGGGGCTGCGGGGGCCACCCCTCCGAAGCCCCGGATGTGAGGCAACAGTGACGGGTAGACCACCTCTGTCCGCCGACATAAAAGTCTCTTCCTGCTTCTCTCCGTGTCTGACTTGTGCCTTAGGGGATCCAGAACGGCCGTTGGGCACCGGGGGAACTCCAGCGCAGCGCACCCTCCCGTCGTCTCCTTTGGAGTCTTGGGCCTCTCCTCTGCCCGGACTCTACTGCCCCTCCTCCCTCTTCCTCCTCAGCCTACGCCTCCTTCCCCTCGCTGCCTCCTCCCACTCTCCGCCCCTTCCCCTCCACCCCCTCCCCCCCCCGCAGGCTCAGTCGTTGATAGGGTAAGAGGTGCTCAGACGTCAAGCAGAGGGCGTGATCAGACCAGGGGGCGGGGAACTAGGTAACTGCCCCAAGGCTTTGATTGGGTCGCGTTAGTTAGCCCCGCCCTTCCCCAAGTCTTGTGACTGGACTATAAGTAGGTGTTTGGGGCGGTCTCCCACACGACCCCGCCTCTTCCTGCTCCTCGTTTATTGGCCGCCTTCTGACGGCGTTGACGCGGAGTTGGCTAGGGATTGGGATGTGGTGCTAGCGTTACAGGGCTGTTGCCCGCTGGGTGGCGCGCGGCGCCTCTCCGCGTCTCGCGCGCGCGCACGGGCAGGGGCACGCGCTCGCCGCGGGTCGCTTTCAGGGCGAGGTGGCTGGTGCGACGGCGTCCGTTCCCTCCCGCTGCTGGCTTGCGCGCTTGTGCGTCAGCAAGCACAAAAGCACCTGGCCCTTGTACGCCGCGCGCGTCCTCAGATCAGTTCGTCTGCAGATAATTCTCTCCTCGCCGCCCTACGGAGCACTGCCCCGGCGCCGCCGGAACTGCCTCCCTGGCCAAGGCGGGTCGCGGTCTCACTGTCTCCCGCACCCGGGCTCCACAGGGCTGTGTGCGTCCAGTGCATTGCTGTTCTCCGTGAGGAACTGCGACTGCTTGCGCTTCGCTCTTGAATCCAGCAGCAGGTCTAAACCAAGGCCTTGGTGTACTTTGAGCCTTTTGGTCTTGTTTGATTTTTTTTCTTTTTGTGGTACTGGGGATTGAATTTAGGGGCCACTGAACTATGTACATCTCCAGCCTTTTTTATTTTATGACAGGGTCTTGCTAAGCCTCTTAATCTGGACTTAAACTTGTGATCCTCATGCCTAAACCTCCCCAAGTAGCTGGGATCACAGGCAAAGTAACACCATGCCAGGCTGTCTCCTTTAGGTAAAAGAATTGGGAAGACCCCGACCAGCCACTTTTTTATAAATACCCTTCGGAAAGGGAGACTTCTCAAATCAAGAGAGGCTTTCCAATAACCACTCCTCTTCCTCCCCATACCCCTCTCTCATGTTCCCTGGGACCACTCCCTTTTCTTAGACCCGTGAGGGGGATCAACATATAAACATCAGCCAGTGTGGCCAATCTTACATTCAGCTAGAGACACAAAAAAATCAGAAACATATCGAAAATTTTACTAGAAATATAGAGGAAAAAAATATAAGTGCTTCAGAAGTTTCCCCTCTCTGTAGGGAGACGGAGGGACAAACACTGCCTTCCCTCTACGGTAGACGGTGGACAGAGTTCCTAGGACTAATGGGGCCTCTCCCCACCCACTTTCTCCTCCTCCAAGAGCAAGGCATCTAGTTCCTCCAGCCGCTTCTGCAGCAGAGGCCCCACATCCGGGCTGGGTGCTAAGTTGGGAGTAACAGTCCTGCCAGCAGTAACCCTAGCCCCTCGGGTTGGCCGGCGGGCTCGAGGAAGGCTGCTGTCCCGGAATTCTACAGCCCGGCGGAGCTTCCTGGAGCTGGTGAAAATCAGAGTCCCATTGCGCTCCCGTGGTTCCTCAAAGATGGTCTCAAAGGTCCTAGACCAGGCAGGAAACTGTTAACCAACATCCCCCCTGGTTCCAGCCTTCCTCCACCACCCTTGAGCCTTCAAAGTTTCTCACCTCCTGGTTGTGGGTGACTGATAATTCTTGTTAGTATAAATTTCTTCCAAGCTGAACTCCTTCTTGTTCAATCTGAGAGCAAAGAACAGAGGCCACTGAGAAACCTCAGGCTAATGGAGCTTGAAAAAGGGATAGGTAAACCCTAGGCTATATTTCTTTTATTTTAATTATTATATATTTTTTTGGTACCAGGGATCGAACTCAGGACCTCGAACTTGCCAGGCAGGCACAGTGGTACTGAGCTACATCCCTGGCCCCCTAGGCTATATTTTAGGTTCCGGGACATGCCAAGGCCAAAAGTGCTATCTGGGGCAGACAGGGAGCTCTAAGCACAAACCACATCAAATTAAATCTCCTGGCTAGACTGTTAGCCCTGCTCCGGTGGATGTGAGCCTCCCCTGTCTGGCCAAGGCAAGCACCCTGCCCAATGAGCTCCTCACCTGACTGGCCGAGGCAGCCCCATTGGTGTAAGATTTAGTTGAGGACGGGTGGGTGTCCTGCGTATTCTGAATCCAGAAACCTTTCCGATAGTCTGCAAAAAATGGCAGGATGAAAGAATGGCACAGTGTCAGGGCCCCTGTCTCCCCCCTTCACCTGTACTCTTACCTTGGTCTCAGGGTCTGAAAGCACCTGGTCCTTTGAGGCTCTTGGCTCCTTCCCCTTGGTTGAGGCCGACCTGCAGAAAAGTCAACACTCAGTGGCAAACGGGATTACCAGCTATATCCCCATCTCCTGCCCGCTGGGTTCTGAGAGGAGGCCAGGCTCTGACTGTGACCAGGGCTTCAAGGAGGGTTCATTGAGAGCACTACCTGGGTTCTGCTGGTTCGGAGAAGGAAGAAGTGGACGCAGTGGACGAGCAAGATGTGGCTCGAGAAGGGGAGGCTCCTACTCCCCCGAGAGGGAAGACTTCTTTCCGAAGACAGGGCAGAGGGGGTGGTGGGGCTTGGGCCATCTCCCCACCGCCCACAGTGTGCCGCCGAGGCCGTGGCCGGCTTGGTTGGGATGGACAAGGGGGCCAGGTGCAGGTGCCTGGGCCAGGGGGGCCCAGATCAGGGCAGGAGTGGCTTCGGCCCAGAGTGAGTTTAGGGAGAGGTGCAGGGATACTGTGGTCCTGAGCTCGCCACTGGCGGATAGGGGGCCGGGGGCTGATAGATGCAGTGCCCTCAGCAGCCCCACACTGCTCGGCCTCTGAGATGGCGATCTTCAACTCCAGCTTCATGGGCGGGGATGGGGGTGGGGGCTCTGGGGTTTTGTTGGGTGTGAGGAAGATGTCAGCGAAACTTTCCAGCTTGGAGCGGACAGAGCGGAAGAGGGGAGCCAAGCCCCAGGGACTAAGGCGGGGACGTAAAAGGCTGGATGGTGGTGGGGTCGATGGGGGCTCCAGAGCAGGATCTGGGGCTGAGGAAAGGAGAGTTACAGGTAGGCATTCCTCAGCTGCATGTGTCTAAGCCCCATCCCTAAACACTGATGTTTGTCCACAGAAGAATAAGCCCATTGCTAAAACTTAAGTCCTGCCGTGCCTGCCTGCCAAGCACAAGGTCCTGAGTTTGGTTCCCGGTACCAAAAAAAAAAAAAAGACAACCTTAAGCCCTATAGTTAGGAGTTGAACCTAAGCCTCTGCAGTCTAAATCCCATTTTTACATATTATATTCTGCCTTGGGTGGGAGCTAAGCCCCACCTCTACCTCTGCACCTGACACAAGCTCAACTAGGAGCTGTGTATGGTGGCACAGGCCTGTGAACCCAGCACTTGGGAAGTAGAGGCACGTTAAGGGCCAGCCTGGGCTGTATGTAAGTTCCAAGCCAGTCTGGACCACATAGCTAGACCCTGTGGCAAACAAGACAAAACAAAACAACTAGGATTTTCTAGATCCCAAGTATCATCCTTCTACCTGAGTTTTTACCTGGGGGTGGGCTGTCCGGGTGGTCTGCAGGCAGGGTGGATGGCTGGAATGGAGGAGCTCGGTCCCTGGATACAGGCATTGACTGGTGAACCATCACCACAGGCTCAGCTCTGGAATGAAAGGTCGAGGTAAAGGCTGAGGGCTTCCAGGTTCAGCTCCCCCTAGGCCAGCATCCCCCCACCCCTAAGGCCTCTGAAGGAGCTGCCAAGAAGTGGTAAATAAACCCGGAAGCCCTCAGCTCTGCTACCTGGGGGTTGGCTGTGGCATGAATACCTTGACAGTCCCTTCCCCAGATCTCACCTTGGTGCTGGGATGATGAAGTTGGGGCTCTCATTGACGAAGCCCTGGATATAAACACAGTATATTTGTGGAGAGGCAGGGAAGCCCTCTTTGGGCTCCCTAGCTCGCCATGTCCTGACTCTTTCAGTCCCCAGCGACCCCCCTCTGGGTTTACACCAGAGACTTTTTTATATAATATTTGCTCAGGCAGTGTCTGCCACCTACAATGGTGTCATCTTGCCCTGAGAGATCTGCCCGATCCAGGCTTCCTACTCTGTCTTCTACCCCACTGGAGTGCCTGTCCCAGCTGAACCCCTGATATCCTCACCCTGTTCATACCTCTGCCCTGGGCCTGTGGGCAGCAATATCTTCCAGCAGCACCACCAGGGTGGGTTGGGGGCCCCTGTCCACCTTCTGTGGAGGAATCCCCTCGGGGCCAGGGGCTGTCCTTGATCGCCGCCTCAGGGTAGAAGAGGATCGCCTCAGGGTAGAAGAGGATCCATGGATTCGACTTAAGGGCTCTCTGCATAAATGCAATGAGTCGGGAGGCCTGGTGAGGGAACAGGAAGATCAGTGGGCTCAGCAACAACATCTCTGGCTCACTGCCCATCCCTCAGTGCTCACCTGGCCTGAGAAGCCCACTTGGCCTGAATGGGTGGTGAGGTGGGTGACTGGTTACAGACAGAATCTCGGTGGTTTCTGTGGCCCCATGGCACGGAGATCTCCTTTTGTGGGGTCAGGGAAGCCTAGGAGAAGAAGTATCAAGAGCAGGGTGATGGAATGAGGTTGGGCCAAACAGGGTTTCCTTGTGCTGAATAATCCTCTTAGCCACAAAAGTGACAGAGATCATGGCTCAAATTCACTCAGACCCCCAAGAGGCAAGTTGGTCTGAATCAGCGGCTGGTTATTAAGAGTCCCTAGTGGCAGGTGTGGGTTGTAAGTAATCTTCTCAATCCAGGCTGGTTAGAGAATGAAACAGAGGGTTACTTTGGGTGGGTCCTGCCTCATTTGGGGCCTCAGTTTTTCTCACCTGTGCAATAGAGTCAACTACCACAGTATGCTTCCCACGGGGAAAAAAGCAGAAAAATTGTAGGAATGTATAATGGAGAAAGGGGAAAGATGGAGGGAGGGAAATGGGTGGGGAGGGGAGGGGAAGGGGAAAAAAAAAAGATTCAGGGGGGCCAGGGATTTAGCGCAGTGGTTTCGCCGCCTGTTGCGCAAGCACAAGGACCGGAGTTCGATCCCTGGTACCAAAAAAGAAAAGATTCAGGTTTTTTTTTCAGTACCGGGGAACAAACTCAGGACCTTGCACTTGCAAGGCAGGTGGTGAAACCACTGAGCTAAATCCCTGGCCGCAAGAATTCAGATATTTAAGTACATACACCTACTCCCTAAGATGAATGTAAACTTCCTGTACTCCAAACATGTTCTAATAAAATAAAAACAACAAAAAACCCCAAAAGACAAAGAAACCCACCAAAAATAAAAAACCAGAAAGATATGACAGCATGAAGATTTACTGAACTGGAAAGGTGAGTCATGGCACAAAAAAGGCATGTTATGAATCTGTATGTACATTATGGGAGTATTTTCATAAAATTTGTAAATATATTAAAAAAAAGAATTGTAGGAATGTGGTTCCAGCCCACCTGGGCTGGAGTAAGTGGGAGCCATGCAGAGCTCTGGCATTAGGGAGGCTGCCTCGCTGATGGGCATGAGAATGACTGTGTGGGCCTCAGTCTCCTCAACAGGTATCTGGTCTGGCTTTGGTACTGAGGAGAGATTTGGGAGGAAAAGGTCTTTCAGTTCAGGGGGCTCACCATGTGGGGAGCCATGACATCTTCCAGCACCACGGCCAAGACCCGCCGGGAGGCCTTTTCCAGGGGCGAAGGGGCCCCCTGGGGCTGCAGCCTCCGTCGTTTCGGGCTCCTGGCGTCCCATAACGCTCGAGTTAGGGGCTGACGGCACAAACTCGGCCGGCCAGAAGGGCTGGAGAGTGAACGAAGCAGAGGACAGTCGCTTGAACCTGTAGTTGGCTCTGTAGTTTCCCAGTACGGGCCAAGTTCCCAGTCTCCCGGCTCAAGACAGGTGGGCGGGGTGCGCTCTCACCTGGAGTCCCCAGGCAAGTCCATGGGGGAAACTGCGGCTTCAGGGGGTCCCTGGGGGATCCCAGGCGGCAGCCTGGGATGAGGGGGGAGCAGGGGAGCGCAGAGTGAGGGCCAGCCCCTCCCCAGGGGCTCCGCCCTTCATGGTCCGCTGGGGTACCCTACAGGCCGGAGCCCCAAGGCGCGGCAACGGCGCCCCCGACTGACTGCCCGGAGAGGCTGTCCTCTCGCTGCCGCGGCCTGGATCAAATCACTCGCGCCCTGCCTGGCATCTGCCACGAGAATCTGGATTGCCGAGCCCCAAGTTCTCTCACGGCCCGAGCCTCCCGAGGTCTTTGTCCCTGCGGATTCTGCCCTGAGATTCCCCGGGATCCGCTGGGATCCCAGTTCTGGGAAGCTTCGTTTCCGCTGAATCCCTCTGAGATCCTCCTCCCCTCTCAGCAAGTGGCCGAGGACTCCAAAGCAATACTCCTCCTCGAAGCGACGCCGCCCCCCCGCCCCGATCCCCTAGACTGGATCACTGCGGAAAGGATCCTACAGGGTATTTCCTCCAATCAGGCGCCGCGCGAGGTTCCTCCTCCCACTGTGAGCTTCGGCTGGGCAAAGCCCCACTCATTTGGGGGCGGCCCGAGCTTGGGGATAGAAAAGCTCAGTCTGGATCCCGGGGGATCCACTGTCAAGCAGATACCCCTTCACTCCGACCTGGGAGAGGTCCCGCCCATACACACCGTCGCACACCCGCCCTGTCTGAATCCCCGCCCAGCGTCCCCGCAGCCCGAGACCAGGTGGTTCAAACGTCTCCTCGCCCCCCCTCCTGGCCCTTCTTCTGCCGCCCCGCGCCCTCCCCCCCGCACGCCGCTCACCGCCGCCTCCCGCAGATCTCCAGTTTTCGACGGCTCCCACGACCGGCTCCTTTAAAACCAGCCTCACCTAGCGCTGCCCAACCACTAGGGGCCTTCTTCCCTCAATCTCCCGGCGTCACCCAATCCTTAGAACCCTTCTTCCGGGGTGGTGAGAAACGAAATGAAGCCGCTGGGCGGCCATCATCTTTAGGGGAAAGAAGCCAAATGGGACAGCACCGCCATTATAGTTGAGGGCAGGTAGCGTAGTTCAAGTTGAGCGTTAGTGTACTGGGTGGCGTCATCTTTCGAAGGCCGGTCAGTGGCTGAATGCTATGCCAGGTTTCTTGCGATATTGAGACCACCTTAGTGAAGCTGAAGTGCCTCCACATTTTTTAAGGTCATCTTCCGGTTCTTTCGTTTTTAGGCCAATAAATGTCGACCAAGTGCTAACGATTTGTGAACTTCCCGATGTCCTAGAGAGTCCGCATTTGAGGGCGGTTCCGGCGTCACACTGAGCGTCTCTACCTGGTTCCCACGGCCCGGGCTCTGTTTGGGACTGAACGGGTGGCCCTCGAGTCCCAGCACCCGAGGTCAGAGACTAGAGCTCGTGCTGCCTCCGGTTCTGGTTCATGCAGTGTCCTGGAGACAGTGGGCTGAGCTGAGGTGGGAAGGAGGCTGGTTCCGCCGAGCTTCACTTCACCTTCCCAGCGGAGGAGTGATGGGTTCTCAGTCCCAGTAGCCTACCTTGGCCCGCCTGGTGGGGCCCGTCCTGCTTCCCTCCCGTATCAGCGCTCCACAGGCACTCTTAAGGACGCTTGTATGATGGCGGAGCATCGTTTTGACGAATAAGAAGTCAGGGCTGGATTCCAGTGCGTGGAGAGACTGTCGCTGAGCCTGTATCAGGAGCTGGACTGCTGGTGGGAGGAAGTGGGCCTGTAGTGGCCTCTTACACTGTGAAGGTGCCCTCACCACCTCCCCGAAATCTGTGCCTCCACTAGTTCTCCTTCCTCCAGAATTTCTTCTCCAAACCTTTTTTTTTTCAGCCTTGGGGTTGGAGCCCAGGGCCTCTGAATGCTAGGCCAGTGTTCTACCCGAGCTACATCTCTACCCCTTTTTCTTTTTTAAAAAAATTTTGTGACAGCATCTCATTAAGTTGCATAAGCTGACCTTGGACTTGATCCTCCTGCCACATCCTCCGGAGTAGCTAATATTACAGGCTTAGGCCACTACAATTGGCCCTTACTTTTCTTTATTCTTTTCTTTTTTTTCTTTTTTTGAATACCGGGGAACCAACTCAGGACCTTGCGCTTTGGATGCAGGCGTGGTGCCACTAAGCTAAATCCCGAGCTCTGCCCATACTTTTCTTAATAAAACAAGAAACCCCAAAGCCTAGAGCCAGCCATACGTCTATAATCAGGGTACAGGTGGCTGGGCATGGTGGCATAATCCCAGCACTTGGGAGGCTGAGGCAGGAAGACTGCCTCGAGTTCCAGGCCAGCTGGGAACACATAGTGAGACCCTGTCAAAAAAAAAAAAAAAAAGTTGGTTGTGGTGGTGCACTAATCCCAGCACTCCAGAGGCAGAGGCAGGAGGATTGCTTCAAGTTTGAGGCAGTCTGGGCTACATAGTGAGTTCAAGGCCAGCCTGAATTAGAAAGCAAGATGCTGTCTCAAAAAAAAAAAAAAAA